AGTCTCCTAACTATTTTTTAACTTTTCGCTCTATTCATTGAGAAGTCAACATGTCGGCTCATCATGTATTCTCCTCCGCAGTGCTCCTATTTACTTGATATTATTCCAAAATGTCTACTTACCTGTTTGCGGCTAATCCAATCCTGTCTATGGGCCAAATCCTGTCGAAACCGGATGTATTGACACGTGGATCTCTGTGCAAACGGATGAGTTGTTCCTCGTGTTGGCAGCACTGCAGTTCTGTGTCTCCAAGCCGGAGGGTGTTGACAGATGAAATGATTTTAAAAATCCCACTTGGCTCAACTTATTGTCAACTTATTGGCTCATTTCGATGCGATCGCATGTGAGTGCGAGAGAAGAAAGTGACTGGTGGATGTGACAAGTGTCGACATGGCAACTTGGGACAGTCGGTCGTCTCGTCGGCCGCCTGACAACAGAGTACACGAATTGTATACCGAGTCTGTGAGGCAGCAAGGCTTTGGCCTCCTGGACAGTTCGACTGTGCTGAGCTGTCGCGCAATCCTATCAGAAAGAGGAGGCCAACGCAGAAGGTCAGCACAAACTCAACCCTACCGACGATGAGTCGATATTTCTGGCAGAAGCAATATCTGCACACCCCACCCCAGGGTCGTCTTTATGCCTGCCTGTATACCTGTTATCGGAATGCCCATTTGTCGCTCGTCCGGCCGGGCCCACGGCTCAACGCTCTTTATCGACTGGGTCGGAGACAAGCGGCTCCAATTTCTGTAGTTGGGTTCACATGACCGAAGCCGGACGGTAACTTCGCATCTTCCTCTGACCCGATGTACCCTCCATCGTTGAGCTAGCGCCGGCACAGCTGACTTTAATTGTGTCTCAGTCTGCTCTGTGTGTGTGTGTGTGTTTTTTTTTTGTGTGTGTTTTTGTGTGTTTGTCAAATCAGAAATTCCAGGTGACCAACACAAACGCACAGATACACACAGGTAGAGAAAAAGGGAAGAGTGAGAAGGTGAAGGAGAGAACAGACAAGTTTAGAAGGTACCGATTTAGGAGTTTAGACGAGAGAGCATTGCTGTCCAACATTTTCCGGCAAGTAAGCTTTAGCTTCCCCGGGCGCTTTCTGGCGGCGGTCGTCTGTCCAAGTGAAGACATGCACACATACACGTGACAT